TCTACATGTCTACTATGTCTACTATGTCTACATGTCTACATGTCTACTATGTCTACATGTCTACATGTCTACTATGTCTACTATGTCTACTATGTCTACATGTCTACTATGTCTACATGTCTACTATGTCTACTATGTCTACTATGTCTACATGTCTACTATGTCTACAATGTCTACAATGTCTACAATGTCTACGTGTCTACAATGTCTACGTGTCTACAATGTCTACAATGTCTACAATGTCTATATGTCTACTATGTCTACATGTCTACATGTCTACATGTCTACATGTCTACTATGTCTACATGTCTACTATGTCTACTATGTCTACTATGTCTACATGTCTACTATGTCTACATGTCTACTATGTCTACTATGTCTACATGTCTACTATGTCTACATGTCTACAATGTCTACAATGTCTACAANTTAATTAATTAATAAAAAATTTCACATTGAGAGAATTCAGCTGCCTCGGCGGAGGTCTGTGCTCTCCGAGTGCTCTAGTTCATTATGCTTTGTCGTGCTTTCTTTCATGCATCCTCGCTGCATTGTGATCTTTCTTCTCCGCAGGTGACTACTGTGTGCATGTGTCGGAGACAGTGAACGCTGCCTCCGTGCGCGCGGTCATGCCGGAATTCAGGTGCCTAGTCGTGTCTCACGCCGGCTTCTGGAGCAACGACCTCAGCAAGTTTCAGGTAGAAGCGCTGATGCAGCATGCATGCGCGGGTGGGAGAGGGAGAGAGGGAGGAGGAGAGGGAGCGGAGAGAGGGAGAGAGAGGGAGGAGGAGGGGGAGCGGAGAGAGGCAGAGAGAGGGAGGAGAAGGAGGGAGGGAGAGAGAGAGGGAGGAGAGAGAGAGGAGGAGGAGAGAGAGAGGAGGAGAGAGAGAGGAGGAGAGAGAGAGAGGGAGGAGAGAGAGAGGAGGAGAGAGAGAGGAGGAGGAGNGGAGGTAATTACATTGTCCTGTTTAGCTGAACTGGAATTTTCACAATCGGCTGGATGCATATAGATCGCTGAATAGAGGCGATAGTTGAAGTATAATTAGTATTAGATAGTAGATGAGAATAATCTCATTTGGGTAGTTCGTTTAAAAAAAAACAATGTCACTCCAACTTTTCTGGTCACTTGTGTCTTACAATTACCCGTACTTCACGTATAAAGCAATTTATGATTTCCAGGATAACTTTGCCCGTGTTTGCAGAGAAAAAATTAAAATTGTATTTTTGCGGGGGTACTTTTCAAGCTGACGCGTGCATGAAAATAGCACTCTGAAATTTGTATTGCATTCAAAACTATATGCAAATTTACGGGGGCTTCTTTTTGGCATTTCGGGCTAAATCGCCCCGATGCCTCCGATATTATTTTTTCCTGGCGTGTTTGTAAAAACGCAATTTAGCCATAATAAATCCAGCAACAAGTAGCAACATAAACAGCGTTCTCTGATTCTGTGGCTGCCCATAGGTCATATAAGAAGATTTCTGAGCTGATGTCTGGAGAAAAACAGTCGTATGAAGTGGAGTTACAGGCGAGTCATGGAGCTTCTCAGTCCCAGCTCAGGCTGCGCACCCAACATCGTGTCTCGGAAGCAGACAGTGACGTTCAACGAGACAAGCAGGAGATATAGAATATCAAAGTTGATTGACAAAGACGAACTGCAGGGTTCTGCCCAGGATGAAATCAAACAGGGGAGGGGAGGGGAGGGAGGGGAACGGGGGGGGAGGGGGAAACTAAGGGCGTGTTTTTTGTAGCCGTACCACTTAATTAATTGCGTAATAATCGCCCACACAGCATAGACGGTATTTGGGTTCTTGTATATATGAAAGATATAGCGCAGAGGCGGTGTATCAGTAAGTGTTAGGTGTGGACAGGTTGAATGTTTGATTTGTGTGGCAGTTGCATGCGTGGTATGGTAAAAATACATTCGGCGCGGTGTCCCTGTAGTAATATACTTCTTGTACGATCGATTCCCGCGCTGGCAAACTTTTATTGTGTGGAATTTCAATCGGGGCGAGCATAATTTAAACGGGGCGACACGAACGAATTTGAAACAGGGGGGAGGTTTTCCCCCACACGGGGCGCCGCGCCCCGTTTGCGCAACGTAGGTAGGAGAACCCTGGTCTGATTCTTCGTGGCGATGTCTTGGTACCGTAATCCTGGATATGATATCGTTCTCTACATTTGGCAAATGGTGCGTACAGTCATGCTAAGGGGTTCTATTGTCTTCTCTTGATCTGTCAAGTCATAGTTTTAGAGAATCAACATGAACAACAAACACTAATAGAAGGCAGCGTATTAGCGCAGCGAGACCGTGCAGCCGTGATCTTGCAGCAGCGTCAGTTTTTGCGATAACTGCACGGCAAAAAGGGTGTAGCACCCAGGTGCCTAAATATGTGATCTAAAGCCTTGCCTGCTGAGACACACATACGCCCTCACAAAACAAATTGCACTCCCAATAGCTTCTTTTTATGCACTGCCCCACAACTACTCATCTCCTGGCTAATACCCTGATAGAAGTACAACGTAACCTGATTTAACCTAATCGTGAGCCCACAGACACCCAGCTCTAAGCATTGTATCCTAGCCTGAACCTAACCTAATCAAGCCTAACCGTAGTCAACAACCCTAATGGTTACTCTAACCGCTAACCTAAAGTAGAGAGCGTCACACAATACAGTACCCCAGAGACATGGATCCCTGTTGAGGCAGCTGGTAACACATATGGGATTGTCTGAGGCGCCGGTCCTTATTACGCGATATTTATCATTAAAATTGTTATTAACAAATTCATATCATCACATGTTAAATTATTTATAATTAAAGAATTAATTAACAATAAGACCGCTATTAATTAGCGATGCTAACGCTATGCCGTTGCTGCCTCTCTGCAGGAATCTGCAGTCGAGGCCAAGGACGACTTCACGACGCAAGCCGGGGATCTCTCCGCTAACTCAACAGGAAGCGCGAGCAGAAGCTTGGTCGGCCTCCATCGCGCCTCGCTGGCATCACCACATAATACTCTTGGTGATCTCCTGCTGCACTCTTACGCACGCACTACCAGATGCAGACGCACAATGTAGCACATAGCGACGACGCAACCAACACATGGTAGCAACCAAACCCAAGCACAGTGCATGCACGCGTACGCATGTAACGCCGCAGGCCAGGGGCTTGGCGGAGGTCATGTTTTCACCGGCGTGGCTTTTAGTGTTGGTTTGTGGGTTTGTGTGTTACCATGCACGTTTCAGTTCACTTCCGCTAGGTGCGCTGGCTGTAGACTTACAAACGCGCAACCACAGGCTAAGGGGCAACCACAGTCCTCCCCCACCTGCACGCTCGCACTAATCCGGATCCAATTAAATATTTCATTAATTAATTATTTAATTACTTGATGAAAAAAATTCACATTGAGAGAATTCAGCTGCCTTGGCGGAGGTCTGTGCTCTCTGAGTGCTCTAGTTGAGGTATGATAACAGCGTGGGTTTGCAGGCTGCATGTACTCACCACCTGTATCTGCCGCCGCAGTCGGTTACGATCAGCGTGGATCTCATGAAGGTCAAGAATATCCGGGAGTTTCTGATATGGGAAAATACAAAATGTATTAACTGCACATGCACCTACGTACATACCCACAAATGTAAGCACATGCATACACACACATACACGTGTGCTTGCACGCACATAATTCAATTCAATTCATTCCAATTCAATCACTTATGGCAATTACATTTTGAAAGTATTATATTGGTCAAACAAATTAATTAGCAAAGCTCATAAATTTAAGCAATTGAAACCAAGGAAACAAAAGTGATGGAAGGTGCAATGATAATGCAGTCTTCCAGTCAACCACACATGTAGATTACAAAATAACTAGTTGATCACAAAACAACAAGATAATGAATAATATATTATTGGTGAAACCTGAGTTAGCAAACTTTTTCTTGGTTTACTTGATAATATGTTCAATTTAGAGTATACATGAACACACACACACAAACGCACTCACATGTGCATACGCATTACGCACACACATGTACACACACACATGCACGCACACCCATGCCTGCACGCACGCACACATGTACATACATACCTCAAGCTCATGTTGAGTAGCATCAAAGCTTCCATCGCTGTAGTATGCCGGCTCTATGCTCTCCAGTATCTCTTGGTCTTTGTGAGGGTCGTTGGGAAACTCAGGGATTCCATCGTGTGCTATCTAAAACAGCCGATCATTGTCATTCAATCGTTTATCACATGAGAATTCAGTGTGCAATTCAAACTTACTACAATATAGATGAGATCGTTGCAATGCTCACCTTTTCACTGTTCCGTCGTATGCGTGGATCCTTTGCAAGCGATTTCTCTTCTGTATCAACTGGAGATGTTATAGGGGATTTACTGGAGCCCTGAAAACCATGTAACAAGAATGATGAGCAGACAGTTATAAATTAAACGTTCTACAGCCAATCAGAGCAGCCAGCAATAGCTGCCTGGGCTTGCCACTGCTTGTATAAGATTCGAGCGGCTGTTTTGCATCTACATTTGAAGAATATCTGTGATTTAAGGCCGACAAGCTGCTGCCGCTTCCTGTAGTTAGCGAGAATCCCCAGGCTTGCCGTCGTGAAGTCGTCCTTGGCCTCGTGAAGATTCCTGCAGAGAGGCAGCAACGCTAGCGTTAGCATCGCTAATAAATAGCGGTCTTATTGTTAATTAATTCTTTAATTAAATAATTTTAAATTATGATAAATTTGTTAATAAATTTTAATGAATAAATATCGCTAATAAGGACCGGCCGCTCAGACGAATCTCATATGCTGTTACCACAGCTCAAAGGGTCCATGTCTCTGGGTACTGTATGTGTGACGCTCTCTACTTTAGGTTAGGGTTAGAGCTAACATTAGGTTTTGACTAGGCTAGGTTGATTAGGGTTAGGTTAGGGCTAGGATGAATGCTAGAGCTGGGTTTTGGCTACGATTAGGTTAATCAGGGTTAGTTGTTACTTCTATTCAGGGTATTAGCCAGGAATGAGTATTGTGGGAGTGCATAAAAACTATTTGGGAGTGCAATTTTTTTGTATGTGTGTCTCAGGCAAGGCTTTAGATCAATATTTTAGGCTGTGCTACACCTTTTTGGCCGTGCAGTTTCAAAACTGACCGTGCAAATCACGGCTGCACGGCTCGCTGGCTAATACGCTGCTTCTATTATGTTATGTTCATGTTATTCCCTAAAACTATGTTCCGACAGTATCAAGGAAGACATAGAACCCCTTAGCATGACTGCTACACCATTTGCCATGTAAGAACGATTATATATCCAGTTAGGTACTAAGACATGCACAAAATCAGACGTCTTTATAATCAACTTCTGATATATTATATCTCGTGCGTGTCTCGTTGAACTCACTGTCTGCTTCCGAGACAGATGTGGTGTGCAGCCTGTAGCTGGGACTGAAGCTCCATGACTCGCTGTAACTCCACTTCATACGATGTTTGGTTCTCCAGAATCAGCTCAGAAATCTTCTTATTGACCTTCGGCAGCACAAGAGTCAGAGAACGCTGTTTATTTTCTATTGCTTTTGCTGTTTATTATGCTAGATTGCGTTTTTACAAACACGCAGTGGAAAAAATATACGGGGGCTCGGGGCGATTTAGCCCCAGAAATGCCAAAAAGAGCCCCCGTAAATTTGCATAGAGTTTAATGCAAACCAAATTTTAGAGTGCTATTTTTATGCACGCGAGCTTGAAAAGTAGCCCCCGAAAAATAAATTAAATTTTTTTCCATGGAAGACACAAAGTGTCAATCCTCAGCTAGCCTCGGCATCATGGCCGCATCACGTCTAGAACCTTATTGTTAGGTCAACGAGGATGGATATTGCGCTCTCTTGTTCGCCAGTTCGTGTGCTTGCTAAGCAGAACATGTACCAGCTCCAGCAGTAAAATA